TTGCGGTCTCTTGAGCAGTGGTTTGGCGAGGAGCGCCTTCCAGACGGGTGGTGGGATGTTGGCGGCGGCCGCCCTGCTAACGAGGTGGGATTAAGGGAGGCTGGCCAGCGTGCTGCAGAGGTTGGGTTGTACAGGGACGGAAGATAGACGTTGAGTCAATGTATGGACGCTGTAAATTCCCTTTATACAGATCAAGATAGGCGTGACAGCTGGAAAACATGACTTAAGGCTTAGAAAAAGGGATCAGCAACAAAGATAACTACTTGCCGCGCCCCGGATTGAACAGAGATTGAACAGATGACCCTCTCATTGCTAAGCGAAAGGGCTTACGAGTGAGACGCTCGACGGCTGAGCTAACGTGGCGCTTGATGAATATTCAATCGTCGTTCCACGCGGCAGACGAAACGGATTACTTGGTACGCACGGCACTTTGGGCCTGAACTTCGGTGGGAAAAATATCATGAGATGAAGACGACTCCCCAATGCAGATAAATCTAAATATAACATGAGATATACTTGGACAAGATAAAAACAGCGGGACAGTGCCGCGATGGGCACAGGTGATGTGGCGCACATGCCGATCCGGTGGTGAAGTTTGGAACAAATGTCAATGTTTTCCAGAAGCTGTACAATGTTATGGGTAGAAGGATAGGTTCACGAATCAGTTTCACAAGGGTTCTCACCTTTCCGGGGGAATATTGCGGTACCTAAGCAAATGATTGAAACATTCACATGTATGGTACGGCGCCGCACACCCTTTGCTTCATCCATACTAGCTGGGTGATGAATGCAAACGTAGTCTGTCAAAGAATTTTTTCTTTTCTTATCGTGAATATTGTGACTCAATCTGCTCCATGCCTAGTCCTTCTATCTCCAAGTTGAGCAGATAAAAGCGAAGGAAGGGTATGGATTGAACTGTAGATACAGAACGAAAATGTACCTACTTAAATACATAGAAATTTGAGAATAAAGCCTCTAAATGACGGACGGTGCGTGTGTCTCCGATGTGCCAAGTATTCTACGGGTACGAGGCTTGCCAGAATATCTTCAACTCTCCCTTATCATTACCTTAGCTGAATCCCACATAGAACAAATGATGTGCCTCCCAAATGACTTATGTGGGAGCATTGCTAAATTAAAATTGTTCTAGGACTGTTTGTTCCTGTATGTCTGTCAGAACCGTAAACACTTCAATGCCACATTCTCATTTTTGCCAATATATTCACAACAGGCACAGTAAATATCAGCCCCTTTAGCTCAGTGGTAGAGCGTTGCACTTGTAAGTGCCCTAGTCTATGGCAACTCATCAATGCAAAGGTCATTCGTTCAATCCGGGTAGGGGGCATCATTGGGAGCAACCAGCTTTTTGTCATTTTCAAATACCTGTAAGTGTGGTCCCAAGCACGCACATGAGAACCTATACAGCCAAAAGGCGAGACAACTGAACAGATACCTGTTCAGCTGCTGCATGCTATATATGTAGCAGTTATGAGTTCTGCTGTAAGCCACACCAGGCTTACAATACCTTGTTTGTGGAAAAAATACAATGAATTCCTGAAATTCTCTGACTTTGTGTTGAAAGATTCTATCTCTAGATATCTTTTCCCCCATCATGCTCTCCACACTTGAGATAGACCCCAGTCATTTGTCGTTAGTGGACTTTGATGCGACCTCACTGCTTGGCCATTACACCATCATTAACATTACTTACAGAAATGATGTTGTAAGTTTTGGTTGACACCAGATATCATCAATTCAATAACCATTATAGGATAATGAACTAACCCCCATGATGCAATGTCACTCATTTGAAAGATCATTTCATTTCAAATGAGTAATTAGAGTGCTAAATCTTTTTTTTCCTACATGACCTTACATTACTGTGATCAATGAAATGCCTTAGCAGTAACACTCCCATGTATATAATGAAAATTTAAGATGTGAACTCTAATCCTTGAATTTGTGCTTACAATGGCATTGGATGTCTTTTATCTTCAGATAAGGTTGCCAGTGTTTACTATTTTGATCTGTCAACCTAAGGTTCCACTGTATCAGGCATTCTGATGGTTCAACCCAGATTGAGTTCATATTGTCATACCTATGAAGCATCCTTCTCTCAGATCCCACTTTGGAAATTCAGCCACTCACTCTGTGGTGTTAGGTTATTCACATTTATAGACCTGAACTTCTTTGAGCAATGGATACAAAGTGTGGAAATCCACCTCACTCAGGAAGTTAAATTCCAATTTTAACACCTTCCATCTACAATTCAAGAGAAGAGAATGGCAAATAAGTGATATCATACAGCAAGAGATATACTTGAAACCATATGGGCATTTTGTGATGATGATCTTGATTAAATTGGCATGGGCCCCAAAGAACAGCATCTGGCAATAAATCATTTGATATCTTGAGAGACTACTGGCTAGCAGAAAAACTCACTTTATCTATGCACAGAACAGTAAGTGCAGACATATGTTGAGGCAACACTGATTGGGGGAACACATGGTTAATGATTTCAGTTTACTACCATGTTGCTTAAGGAACTCCTCAAATCCCATCTTATCTCCTTGGTTGGAAATGTAATTGGAATTTGATGAAATAATGATGTGTTGTAATACAGGAAGCCTTGTATGGACTGTCATTTACAAACCCTTGAGTAAGATTCAGGAAGGACATCATCTTTGCCACCTAACTTCCAATCCTAACTCTCTGTACCTCATTGATGTGATGAATGACAGGATGACTGTACCTATGCACTGTTGCACTAGCCCAGAAATATGCCTGAATGATAAATGCTGGCCCTCTATTCTGTTGATTATGTTATACACAGGACCTCACTGACTTTGTCATATATTGGTTCTTCATGTTTTTTGGAAGAAATGTGCTTTAAAAAAGAGCTTTCTTATTCTCTCTTTAGAGGTTGGATGGGGGTCAGCAGGCACTTGGACAAAACCTCACTCAGTTGTGGGTGCTTATTCAGGCAGAGGTTACTATTACTATGAATATTCTTCTACAAATTTCATTGCTGAGCTTGAATACAGGATCAGAGACTTGCAAGTGCCCCTAGAGATCATTCATTCCACCAGATTATTTTTGACAGTGTTATCTATCATTGGGAACTCCCACCTCCAAGGTTTATACTGTTGCAACATAGCCACTCAATAAATGTATCAGTAGAAGGTGTGTTTATCTTCTCAAAATTTGTGGTGCTTACATGGTCCTCATAGATGAGAACATAGTTACAATTTTGACAACAACCAGCAAGAAATACTACACATGGGCTTCAGATTGTACCAAGATCCACATTCTGGAAGAGGATCAAGTATGTCAACAAGCCATCAAAGGCTTGATGACCTACAGTCATGGACAAGCAAACTCAACTAACAATACTAACCCATCACCTACTGCTACACATGGCATTGTTGCCTTATTTAAAACTTTTCTATGTATTACAGGAGTGTAAATGAAGATATCTTCACAAGTCAATTCATGAGAAATTGACCTTACATAGGCATGATCCCCAGAAAATTTGGCAGTCATGTGAATCATGTCTAAAATCATGAAAAATAGTGGAATCAACACATTTGAGTAGCTGCATCTTATCCTTCATTTTTAATGGATTCTATTGAGTGAGAGGCAAGATAAAAAATCTTTTAATTTATATACTATCAGCAAATGATTAAATCAACACATCATTCAGTTGCCACAATAGCAGTCCACCTTTGACAATGGCTCACAAAAAAACAGAAGAGAAACATATCTGGCCTTTGAAACCAGCTCACATTGACTGCACAGATTGATGTCCAAGCTGAGCCAGACACAAATCCAGATTCTGGCAATATTGTTTTGAATGAAGATGTGATGGATGCCAGCATGATGGGCACAAAGTTTGACAGTTTGAAACCATGTTTGGAACTTGATGGTGACATTGATGCTGAGGAAGAAAATGAAGAGGGATTTATTGATGATGATAAGGGCTGGGAGTCTGGATGAGAGGGCCTTCAAGTCAAAATGGTGCTCATGGCCATAGAGGATAACCTATGAGATGAAGACTGGATGCCCCAGGCAATAAGGAAATGGCAGCAGAGTAAGTTTTTTGCATCTCTACTAGGATGTGATGAGCAAATCACAGAGAACACAAGAGTGCTATCAAAAGTCCTGGAGTCTTAAACTGAAGCCTTCAAAGCCAGACTCAGATTTACCTGCCACCAGTGACTCAGTTCTAAGACTCATTGTGTGCCAAGAGTCATTGAGCCCACCTCCCCTACAGTTTCAAGAATATGTGTTTGTTCATGAGGAATCTGTCACACCACCACTGCTTACATTTGATGACTCACTGGGATCTGAATCTTGTGCTGGCAGCATCACTCAAATGCCCAGCTGATGATGCCAATTTGGATCTTGAACAAGTATGAATTGTTCCTGGTAGTTCATGAGTGCCTATCAGATTGGCATATCAGGAAAAGCAGCAGCATGGGCAGTGAAGAAGCAGAAAGGTCATAGGGCAGTCTCACAAAGTGCTATGCTGCACTTAAATGCAATTATTGAGCATCACAATGGCTCACATTAGGTAGTATGAGTTCAGAAATATGGCCAAAAAATTTGGCGGACACAACTGCTTGTAGGAAAATTTTTGGACATAGTTTTTTTAGATGTAAATGGTTATTCTGAATCTGGATCCATCATTAGATTTGCATTTCTGGGTCCTTGTCAGATAGGTCATTCTCACATCTTAGTTTGCACTGCCATGAACACCCAACTTCCATTCAAACCATGCCAATCTGATCCAAGAATATGTCTTCCTCCTCCTGCCATTCATCCTACTTTGTTCATACCCCCAGTTGGGATTCTTGGATACCAGGTGAGAAAGCCCTGGAAAATATTGACTGGCAGAAGTTTTATTTAGAGGTATTGCAGCATCAGGTGTAATAGCAAATGTTGATTGCCACCTTCATGTGGCGTTGATCATATCCATGGCAAATCCATTGTAAGTAGACTTCTATATACATATCTTTGTAATTATACATTGGACTTGTATATATAATAGTTGCATATCTGTAACATGTACTTTTTTATAGTTGCTGGTGCAAGATATTTGCTACTTATCAGTGTTTGTCTGGGGGTCTGCAGTCAGCTGGTGTTTTGAAAATAATCAAATTGAACAAAATCCTTCAGAAGATCCAACATTGTGTCATTATAAAAATGATTAATAATATACAAAATAGGGTAGGCATGGATATGATAGGATATGAAGCTGTGTGTATAGATATGTTCCATTGCATTGTCCAGAACTGACTACCATACCACATGTGGGAGATCATTGGCAGTTTGTGTAACACAAAAGTTGTGCATCTGAACCTCGACAATAAATCAGATATTGACTATCATCTGATCATAAGGGCTGACAATCAACCTTCAAGTGCCTGATGGTAGGATCCCACACCAGGATATCATTGTCAATGATATTTGACTTATGATGCCATATGATGCTCCATCAATGTTGCAACTGCCAATTTGGAGAGAGTTTTTGCAGTGTGGGGTTCCAAAAATTTGGAGGGCAGTTTATTTTTAGAGCAGTCCAAATCATTGACTCCAATTTGGAAGTGACCCTTGGAGGCCTATTGGAACTGACCAAATAATGGGCCTACTAGGGTCCCACATGACTAGAACTTTCAATGCCTTAGGTGAAGAAAGAAGGGGTGGCACAGCAACAGAACAGGTACGGAATGTTGTGTTGAAAGAGACTAAGGTTATAATACGAGTATGCTTACAATAGCGTTTGACAAATCTCGACATAATTGGAAGTGTCCTGCACAACCCAAGCATACCGTCCCAAATCTAGTGATATCCACGGCCCCCGGCCATGGACTTTCTTTATAGATGCCCTTGCATTTGAAACATGAGTCTACTTATCATGACAAGTATAAGAATGGTTGCACTGAAATGAATTCCTAATGTCAGATGCGAAGAGTTTCAGGCGGCAGTAAGCAACTCACGATCACAGTCTTCTTCTGGATCAAACATCTCCCTTGAGAGAAGTAAGTTGCCATCTCCTAGAGGATTCGGCACATCCTGTGTTCCAGCAGACCTTACCCATTCACCTAGATCTTCCTTCTTCAAGAAACATCCTATCACCGGATAGTCCTTGGGGTACTCCGAATGAGCACTCAAGATCACCCGAGATTCGACATTGCCCTCTTCGACAGTGGGGAAGAAGTACGCGTTACGCCTCATTGAGGTGCCAGGCATCACAATCGTCTTTTCTGGGCGGAAGACAGGATAGATGTCCTCATCCGCTGATGTTTCTCGGAAAAGGCTGATTCGGTGAACCTTCAGTGTCAA